CATTAAATTTTTTAAATTTTTTTATTAATGAAAATGTTGTTATTTGTGAATAAAATAAAAAAAAAAACTAACAGATGTGCCCGGAATTGCGTGAGATAATATGATCTAACTAAAATTTTTTTTTTGTTGCACTACTTATGATCGCCAGTGTAATGAACCTTATACCTTCTCCCTCTTACCATAAATTTGTTTAATCTATTATATATTTTTTTTTACTTTTCTTATTGTATTAATAAAGCTGGCCCTGGTGGCTCAATTTCATATAAATAATCAGTTTACTTTTGCGTGTATATTTCATGAATTTATTTTATTGTATTATTATCAATGTACATTACTCATATGATCGAGAATTTTTCTTGGCTAAAAAAACTGTGACAAATTTGTCACGATCAGCCGGCATAACCCAATTTTTTACTTGACTATTTCGCATATATAATCGCGTTTACTTTTGCTTAACTATTTTTTGGAATTTTTTTATCGCAGTGATATCGATGTCTACTAATCGTATATATGATCGTGAATTTCTTTTAAGTGATTTACCGCAAGAGCAAAAGTACACATTACTGTTTTTTATAAATTCGCTTTTAAATACATCCGCTTCTTGTATAAAGCAATGGCAGACAATCAACTTGCAATCGATTCCTTGAGAGTATTGGAAGAACATGAAATCAGAATCATGAATCGCTCGTGAACAAGCTGAACTTGAAGTTAGAATTGCGAAATTGGAACTGAAGCTGGTATCTAAAAAAAATCGTAAATTCCAGAATAAATGTATTCAGATAGCTATGGAAATTCTTGATGAGGGACCAATAATTGAGTATCGGCCTCCTTTTTTGAATGGATTAGAATTTGACGCCTTTTTTAAAAAACATCAAATCGCATTAGAAGTTCAAGGAGCTCAACATCGGCTTCATAATACTGGCTGGTATAAGGATGTTAAAAAACTCGAGGTTATTGTTAATCGTGATCGGAAAAAAAGATGCATGTGTCAAGATAACGGAATTTTCCTGCTTGAGGTATGGTATGATGAAAAACCAGAAATCGTCATTCTCCAAAGAGTACAAAAAATCAAGTGTTTCGTTAATCAGGCATCCAAAATTGTTGATCTATAAGTCAATTCATAATGTAAATTTAATTTCTAAATCACAGACATGTGTTTAATATATATATACCTTATAATGCATATGTATTTTAATGAAGACATAAAAGCAAATGTACATGCTTTATTATAATTTGCTACAATTTGGCAATTGCACAGACTAACATTTTTTGATCAATACTAGATATAATACAGCATTAATCTACAGTTCTATACTATAATATTATGGGTGTGTTTGAAATTTATGCGAATTATGATATAATCACAATAACCATTATATTTCTAATCTTTATGATTTCGCTTACGTACATGACAATCTTCAAAGTGTGTCATGAAAGAGTAATTATCAGTAAAAATTTCGTCACATTTAGGGCAGTTAATTTGCGATTCACTCTCACTTTCCGATGTTTCTGTTGGCGTTGGTGTCTATAGTAGATAAAATATATAAATTTACTGTATAAATGATAAAAAAAATGAAAGAACAATAATGACATACTTGTGAAATAGCATCTTCGATCTTATAAATTTTCAATATAAACCTTGGCAATACATCACCTCCATTTATATCCCCCCAGGTGTGCTCACGACGAAAGACATTTCCCTGCTGATTCCGCTTGTATACCCAAATTCTTTTATTTCTGGGGTCGATCAACCAACCGAGTTGCACACCCGAACCAGTTGCAAAAAATACATGTTTAAATCGGTGGTCTAATTCTTCGAACTTCGATCTACCTTCAGTGTCTCCAACCTCGACAACGAACGTGGGAGTGAATGGTTGACCCTGGAAAGTCCAACCCTGTGATTGAGTCAATTGGCGGGATATAGTTTTGGGACATCGGGTGCCCTGATCGTTCTTTGACCTTCAACATTAAAGTTAAATCCTCCTTGTGCTGTTTTGATGTCACCGTTTTGTCGAGTTTGAATATTCCATCTATCAAGTTGCCCCACAATTGTTGCAACAGTAACCTCCATCCAGTGAGTGGCCTGTGACATTGGAACAAGCTTTCCCTTCTCGTCAAGTTCGAAAAGATCAACAGGTTGTCCGTTGATTTCCAAAGTATGGTATTTTAATTGTTCGTTTAAATATTCAAATTCCTCGAAGGTATATGTATGATTAAGGTCCAAACGGTTAAGATCTATTTTTTGTTCGGCTTTCGACATATTCGAAGTTGAGAATCGAAAAAAATATTAGGAAATGAGCAATTTATGTGATTAGATAATCATATTACACAAAATTTCCTTACTTATATTTTGAAATATTCCGATGTATTTCAGGACTAGGATAACACCTTTGATGCCAAAATAACTGATGCAATTGATACAAGCAATCATGAGAAGAACGCTGGCGATGGGAAGCAACTAAAATATAATACGAAAGGTAAGAAAGAGGCTATAAGTATTTACATTCTAATAAAGTCGTTTAACGTACTAATATTCCAGTAGTGGATATCGTGATAGTTATGATTCAAGCAATACAGATAGTACAAGCAAAGGAAAATATTGTAGATATTTTTGCGGGTTTAAAGATTAGCAAGAAGTGATTATAAACATCGAAAAAGTATATCAAATTAATAATAGCTTCGGAGATGCCTTTGAAATGCGGGGTAATCATAATTACTGGAAAGATGAACGTAAAAATATGAGTTAAGCAGATTTCTTAGAATACAAGCGAAACTTTGAAGCTAGGGTGGGAGTACCTACTACTCCACATAAAAAAGATTTAAAAAACCAGTTTTCAGTATATATTGAATATGCATAACTCTATCCATTCGAAAGTCTCATATCCAGATTACAGTATTAAAGTTAACTTTTTTCTTGTATCATAAATTTATCCCACCAATTCACTCTTTTCATGCCATTCATTGGTGGGGAGGTGAAGTCAGAATGATAATAACACGATATGTTATGACCCTCTTAATTTCATAAAAATCATATAAAAATAAAATTTGGTGAGGGCATGGACCCCCACGACCGGGTAAAATCGCCACCCAAAAAAGTTTCGAAAATCATGATATTGTCAATTCATCATGATTAGGATCATGATA